GTTCTCTGACACGTTCTGGAAGCTATGATTTAAAAGAATTTTTACTTTCCTCTTCAATGAAACTACTTGAATGGATTTACCATATCGTGTGGAATACAATGACATTTTTTCAATTTTATATTCTTCATCAATAACAATAACCAAAATTCTTATACGTCTCTGCTCTAAAGCTTCACTTTGTTAAATTATAGCAAAATTAATTTTTTCAATTTCAAATTTCAAATTATCCATATTCATAAATATAGTGAAATTACGGCTCAAAAATATAAAATATGTTCACCTCTGTGACGATGATGTTCACGTCTTGGATTGGGAAATACTCGCTGCTGTCGTCGACAGAACTCAATAAATACTCACTTTCTGTTCAATCACTTTAGGTAGTTTAAACTGAATGAATATATGATACACTAATCATCAAAAAGAGGGAGAGAGGTTTAAGATAATATAAACCTCACGGTCACATATCGAAGGCAGACCCGAATCTCAAGGTAAATGCCCATGTTCAAGGCCATATGGTATAGCACGTACTCAAGCTCATGTGACGTTATTCAAGGTTAAGGTCAAGAGGTGGGGTGAGGGGCGGCAGCGTCAAGGTCTCAGACAGACCCGAATCTCATGGTCATATAGCTGGTCACGTAACTCAAGGCCATGTGACGTCATTCAAGGTCAAGTGGTGGGGAAGGATTTGTTACGGGTCCCACTAGAGCCACCTGACGTCACAGGCGACCCCACCACCAATTTGTACCCGATGCGCTGACAGAAGGCGATACGAGCAAGCAATGGTCATTGGAACTTCACGGAGTGCAGACGTGTGCACTCGATATCGAGAGATACCGTCCAAATTGACGAAGAAGGACCGCTCATTAGTCGGTTGATCATCGTGGTATGCAGACGTGTGTTTACTCTATACAAACTCATACAGATTGCACATGAAGGACAATGTCATATCCTGACTCTACCGTGTATGTAAGTTAGCCCATAATCTCACGATCAAATTCCATGTTCAAGGTCGCACTCCACGTTCAAGGTCATGTTGCATGTACATAGCTGAAGGACGTCCATCAAAGTCAAACCTCAGACGACCTTCAAGGTCAAAAGTCAAGGTCACGTATCTGATACAGACTGGAATATCAAGGTCAACCCCTCATATGACCGTGAACATCGTTCAAGATCGTGTGACGTTAGTCAAGGTCAATGATATTAATAGCGTCATAGTGGTGAAATTAAAGAAAGGGACTTGATGCCAAAAGGTACCGCCGTTGTCACGGCGGTGACAACGGCGGTTGTTGTTGTTAATTTCTAATATAACCATTGCCTTTCATGAAATAAATTGATTAATTGGTATTGGATCGATTTCCAAATCTTTGGCAGGAAATTCAGACGATAAATTTCACACCAATTGAATAAACAGGCTAAATGATGACGAATATCAATAAGAAAATTTATTTGCGTGTAAAACTTGAATGTACATAACTCATTTGTGTTACGGTATGCTGGTGTACCCAATTGACCAATTCATCTGCGGAGCCCAAATTTTGGGAAGGCCTTGAAACATCCCAGAAAACTGACAGAGCTCCTCAATCTCCTGCCAGAAATACAAAATTACAAAGTGGAAAATTTAAATAAATGGCTCTCAATACTTTCTGAGCCCCTACAAGTGACAATAAACCGTCCTGGAAAAAATGTTAAAACTGAGTTAATAAAGAAAAACACTCTGATATCTCTTGAAACTTGAAGTATTAAGGCCTTCACTGAAATAACGAGGAATCAAGCAGAATCCAGATTTTCAAAATCATCAAAGATTTTGTATGGATCTCACCCAGTTTTGATACCATACGTGTGTTGTAACAACATCTCGGAAAATCCAGCCTACCATAGAGGCTGAGCGACCTGAACGTCAACGATTTGAACATAGCCGAACACAAACTTGACACTCATTCCAAAACGTTAGATGATTTAATTAACCAACCAAACATATTTCTTGGTTTACATACTTCACCATTACGTTCATCATTGCTTTAATAGTCTTTCATATCGATTGTAACTGCAGAAGAAAATGTCGTGGCAATTCAGAAATTGCCGATGTGAACCAACCACCACCGCCTTCGAGACCATTTAGGCCTGTATCATTCATCCTCAAAGTGACCTACTCAAGATCAACCTCATTCGGCATCCGGTACCTACGCAGTTCTAGTAAGATCCCAGGCTCCAGTTAGTGTCCATTGGACACCTAGACGGTTACTATGCATTATTTTTCCCATAAATCCGTTAGTTACGAAGTATAACTCAGTAACTACTGAGCTAACTTTGACATAATATTGTATATTTTCTTACTTTCAGAAAATATACGTTCCTCATTTAGAGTTATTAAAAGTTTTCAAAAAGTTATTTTCTCAAGTGAAATAAAACATATACCTAAGTGAAATGCTTTTTTTCATTAGTAATAAAAATTATTAGGCAATTCTGTGACAATTGAACAAATCAATTCAAAGAACTAAGATTATAAAAAAAAGAAAAGAAAAAAAAAACACATCAAAGGTGTTGCTTCGTTCCCTCCTGTTCATAAAAGAGGACTCATTGCTCACAAGTGATTTTGGCGAAATTGGGAAAACGTGTGAATCGTTGTATTCATGCCACGTGCCACTATATGGGTGTCTGCAATATGATGTGTAATGTCCGTTGATTCAGTCGACCGCCAACATATGATGTTAGCAATATGAATTTTGACAACTTGGTAATATGTAACAGGTTCAAGCAAGAATTGCGTTAGTCAGATAGTCAGTCATAAAGCACCCTAGTTAGTGTTATTTTTCTACAAAATCCAAAATTGAAGACATAAATGAAACTAAGTATGGTAAATATATTATAATTTTAATTGAAACTACGCATATTATTTTAAGATATAGTAAAGTCTAGTATGAATTTTACATACAACAGACAAACAACAAGTTGACAAATAAATGTATGATTCATAATAACTGTACTACACATTTTGCTTAGAATTGAATACATTATTAACTTACAATTATTATTTGTTTTAATTGGAAGACTCAGTTTTAGTATAGCGTAGTTAAATTACGAAATAATTGAATAATTAGTATAGCGCAGTTTTCACCAACCAAAGTAAGTTGACATCCTAACAATTAACCTGTACTACTTTCATTCATTTCCTCGTACCAGTCTAATAACTTACATCTTAATAATATAAAATTACCCGAATGCTTCGTTATAAAAATAACTTTAAAAAATTGTTGTAAAATTTACATTATTATATTCCATCAAGTATTCAAACTTCAGATTTCTGTATGAGCAAACAAACTAATGTAAACAATAACATTTAAATCACTAATAACACTCCTTCAGCAAACATAAACATATATTTAAAAGCTTTTAAAAATGTTGATCATAAAAATGCAGTTACTTATAATTTATTTTGCAAGATTCTTCCCATATAAGATTCATTCCAGAAAGGATATAATTCCAAAAATTAGATCATCATGAAACTCAGGATTCTCGCCAAGTACCTATTGACATAAAATGTTAATGACGTAAAATTTACAGTGTAGTTCTACTTGTTACAGTTGCTTATTTGGAAATGAAGTCCTTTCTGTTGAACTATGTATCAACATGATACTATATGAGAGGGAAGAAATTCTCATGGGACATGAGTACCTTGAATATTAGCTTATATCTAAATTTTACTAATACCATTTATCAGTCGTTCTCAAAAAAAGAAAATACACCAGATAATATAAAGTACTTAGGTCATATTATGTACAGCAGCGAAATACCAAGACTATTTCTATTTAACCTGTATGTTGATATTCACAGATTCATCATATTGTCTTGAATTACAATTTGCAGTTAATTGTGAATCCATAGAAAATAAAGTTGAGTACTTTTTATGAGCCAGTCCGAAGGAATATTGGTTTTATACCATTCCATCGACCAATATGATTATTTAATCTGGGAAAGAGGTTCAGCGGCCGATCATTGTTTGAAGAGTATATAATATAGAACGGGAAAATATTCTTGAACAACAGTCATCTTTCGGAAAGTGAATTTCTTAATTATCAACTCTTTAGCCTGTTTCTCATTTCACCACTTCCCAACTGAATAAAACGGCAAATTTGGCTTAAGAAAAATGTTCAACATTAATGTTCAACATTAACAAGTTTGTTGAGATAAATGACAAATCAAATTTGACTTTATCTCATTTACTTTCAAATGAAAAACCGACTTTTTCCATTGAAATAATCTTCACTTTTAAAGTTGTTGAAAAGTGTATAGATAGTGATAAATTTTCGTCGTTTGCCGCATATTCATCTAGTTCGGTATACTTATGGTCCCTCTGTAAAGGCTGACACTTTCAAACTTGTTATTCTACGTTTGGTTGTAATATAATGGGAAGTTTTCAACAACCTCTGATTTTTACCACCATGCACACTCATGTATTAGTGTAACTGATCAACTGGCATTATTTAGAAGTTAATGATTTTAATGAGTGATTGATAGCGTATGAAAATGACTGAGGTCTTAAAAATACTGCAAAAAATTATTTTTTCTGTTTGAAAACAATGTAATAGAAATATTTCGAAATTCAATTCTATTTACAAAGTTTTGTTAATCTTGAAGAACTTGATATGTGTGTTACCTACTAAAAGTGGATTGACATTGTAACTCATTTGACATGAGAAATTCACAATGTCATCAATTATGTTTGTGAAAATCATTCTATTATATCCTTTGAAATGCAATAACTTTATATCAAACCTACTGAATTTACACAAATCAAATGAGTTATACTCAAATCCCAATAATATTGTAAAACTACCTAATCGAAAGTCGTCCACGCAACAAACAAGATTACAGATAATGAAAGTAAACATTTCACAACATAATGATTCGAGAATATCAATTCAAAAATTTTAATTTCTCTAGTATGAAGTTTATATACATTCACAAACAGAACAAATTTCCAATTGAAGTTATTGTCTTTCATCCACGTTATGTTGAAATTTATTATTCAGACCCTAATTTTAATTTACATTTAATCACGATAGAGACGCAACAAGGCAACTGGTAATGCCTAACAACAGCGTACCGATGTTCGGAGGCATTGACGCTGCCCTTCCACAAATGTGAATTTCTGTTTCCTGAAACATATAAATCATTTTGTACATAATTCAAATTTATAGGAATGGTAGGTTGGTATAATGTGTAGTCTACTTCTGACATACTCCGCTCTGGGTGGAATCAAGCGCCCCAATGCCAGTGTTCTCCATATATCATACACATCCAAGCTTGTTTAAAAAATTAAGTCCAGTTCAATCCGTGGGTTGGGCTACCTATCGGGCGCGTCCCCAGGTGGCGGATATGGGAACGGCTAGGGGACTGGGGACCCTCTCCAGGAAGCCAATGTGGCCTTACAGACGGGGTCACCGGACTCCTGGTCAGTGGCAGAAATGAGTAGGGTGAGGGGAACTAAAACTCCCCAAAAGCCTTTGCAAAACAGGCCACCGTGGACCAGCCTAAGGAATCGTGCCGACAGCTGAATGGCCGCAGGGTGATATGCGGCCACGAACGAACCTCTTGGGGAAATGGGTGAAACCTCATTGTAATCAGCCTACCTCTGGTAATGCGGGGCTCTGCCAGAGGTGACCAACTCTTCTTTTGCTACTCGTGGGAACACACATGAATGAAACAAACACGAAAACAGAAACAACAAAAACAGAAACAACAAAAACAAAAACCAATCCCGAGGCTACACAGAAGTGCTCACCTCAATCTAAGGCGGTGGCTGGGGAAGAACAGAAATGTCCACCCCAATCTACCGCTTGGAATGAGGCTGGACATAGCAGATCACCTCGTGATGTAATACAAAGGCCAAGGCGTAAGCGCATTTGCGGCGCCGAGGCCAAAAGGAGAAAGAGAGCGAAGGAGGCAGGAGTGGCAGCAACTATGAGTGCACCCTCCTCCTCCCCCACTCCACCTCCTACAGCAAGGGCATTTCCTGCAGCGGGCGCCAAGAGCTCCGCCTTGAATAAAGGCAAGGAAACGGCTGCCCCTCACTTGTGCACCTCCACGAAGGAAACCCCAAGAAGGTTGAAGAAGCCGAGTAACGACAGTAATGTCGCTGTACCTTCCAAAACCCTCGCGGAGGCCACCGTGAGATACCTCAAGGTTGCCAAAGAGAGTGTGTGATCGGCGAGTATTGGCCTACATCTGCCAATATAAAGGAGATTTTCCTAGGGACCTGTCCACCTTCCTGGAAAGGACAGGATGGACACTGACCTAGGAGGACAACTCCTCGGGAGGATGTACAATGGGTCACATGTGGCTTAAGTGCTGTGGGTCTACACTCACCCTCTCTCCTCTACAGATACAGATAAGTCTAGCTCAAATGTTGATGTTATACACCGTCAATACTTAAGCCAAGCTTTCTAAAGCCCAAAATGCATGAGGCAATGCCTGAGATATTCTGGAATTCTTGTAGTCAGTCTTGCTCACGAAGCAGATTAAACAGAGAGAAGGTCTCATGTGAAAATCGAAGATAATTGGTGCAATTTAAGTAGAAAAAATATGGATATTGTGAGTTCTAAAAAGAAAATCCCAGATGCAAACAAGATATTCCATATTTTGGATACTCCATTACGGCATATGAAAGCAAAAAATGCCCTTAACATGATGGAAACATATAAATAGAAATCAAAACGTTTGAAATGTTCATTCGAACACGTTTTTTGTGAGCAAACGCTGCACCCAACTCGCGGACAGCTATCTCATGCCCAAATGTTGATTTAATATGTGAGAAACACGTCTTTTCACATGTTCATAACCTCTGTTATCTCTCTCACTTTAATTCGGCGGTCGTCTAGCACCATTTAGTGAACTTTGGCGATGTTTTCGTCGACAGTTTCAGTTTTTGAACGTCTCTGACGTTCATCGTCTCCCAAGCTCTCACGGCCTCGTTAAAATTCAGCTGCCCAAAATTTAACTGTGGTAAATGATAGTGTAGAATCCCCATACGCAGAATCCAACGCATTTTTGATTTGCGTAGGTGAATTCAAAAACAAATATTTTATGACAGCTCGATACTCGATTTTGTGCATTTTCATAAAAACACTCACATCAACTTACTAAAATGACTGTTACATAACAACTGCGCGTCCAAAATGGCTGAAACTTTGATGAGTAACTGTCAACAGATGAACAACCAAATTCACTAGTTTTTATTTACGAGTGCTGTTGAGGTGCATGTTGAGGTCGGAAACTTTTCAAACCACCCTCGTATATTAATATCTGTTATTTGTAGGTATAATTATTGTAGACTGAAGTGGTACTTGTCAGTTCACACCGCGAACAGAAAGGTGGGTTAGGTTCATAAAATGCTTAGCTCCAAGGCTCTGAGCTGCAAATGTAGAGGGCTTAGCTTTGAGCGGGTTGAAGGCTTATTATTGTTAGGATGTATATCGAATTTACAAATAAGGCAAGCTTAAGATCTCAGCCAGACTCAGAGAGAAAACGGCAATAAGTCAGTAGAACACACTATCAATATTTTTTTGTGATATTCGCGTCTCCAATCAGGCGGATTGCTCTTTTCTGGATGGAATATATCAGTCTCAGGGTATTCCTAGGGACCGAGATCTATATATGTAAGCAATATCCCAAAGAGGGTCTAATTTGAGCTTTATGAATAATCAAAAGTGGCTTAGGTGTATACAACATCCTAGTTCGATATAGTGTTAGGAGTGTTTTCAAGAAGCGGACACTGTTATTCCAAAAAGGTATTATTGGATTGATGAACAATTCGACACCCAAAAATTATTTATGCAACTAGCATTATGATGTTGGATTCCGCAACAATCTTCTTAAAGAAAACAAATATCTGGGTTCTCATAGCATCGCAATATATTTGTTCACTATCACCCCAAGCCGAATTTTTTTGTAGTTTTCAATTAAGATATGAAACTTCTTAGTCGCCGAAGCTAGGGCATGGGGACTATCCAGTTGGAAAGAAAAGAAAGAAAAAGGCAATTATATCTGCTGGAAACACTTCTTCAATAAGCCGTTTTGGCCAGGAACATCATGTACAAGGAGAACACGTCGAAGATCACTAGTATGTCTCCATGTCCTAGCTTCATATATTCTAGAGACTCAAACTGCATAGGGAAAACAAATTGGTCAGAAAGTGAATTTGCTCTTTCATCCGCTTGTTTTAGAGATGGAATATTGCAATTGGTGAAATGTTCAAAAACGACTTCAGTCACTGACCAGAGTATATAGTTGAAATTGTCAAACTGTTCATTTCAAATTCTCTGCTTGTTTAGTCCCAATAGCAGTTTTTTCGATTGATGACCTATTTATTTTCTAGAAATTCATATTGAATATAGGATAAAGAAAATAAATTTTGTCTAATTTTTATTTGTTACGACCGGTTTCGATTTATTAAACCATTTTCCAGAAACCGGTCGTAACAAATAAAAATCTTGGTAAAAATTAGGCGAAAGTTATTTTCTTTAGCCTATATTCGATACTATTTCCATCACTAGGATTTCTATACCAATTTTGCTGAGCTACATTTCAATAGGCGATAGCTCAGTCGCAACTTTTTCGAAGCTTTGGTGTGAGGTTGAAAGACCGCTTCATTCAAAGTGAATATATATACATCCATGCCCGATACGACCTGTTATTTTCGAAGCATATGCTATTGTAGAACTAACATCTATCATTTAAATCTGTCGATGAAAGTTTTTCAGCTTATGTCTAATCTGGCACTCTATTCTAGTGATGTGTTATGAAATACACTTTTCGTCAGATATTCATTTTCTCATCATCTACTTGATTTGTTCCTGCAAGTTGTCATAGTAAGTTTTTGTACCCGATTTAAACAATCAAAAATGTAACTTTAGTGCGGCTCCGATATTCATGGCCCTGCATCTTTCGCGGGAGTATAAGAATCCCGCTGATGATGCAGGTTGTCACTCCGAGTGAAACATTTTCCACATCAACTACATGTATACATCTTCTAATCCAAAGTAAAGCTACGAGGTTTAATTCAAGGGCAGAGTCGATGGTCTCAAACTTCGTGCTCAAGGTCATATGGCGTGCACATAGCACGACAAGGTCGCGTAGAATCATTCAAGGTCGTAATATATGCACATCGCTCAAGGACGTGAGACGTAATTCAAGGTAGACCTTGTTCTTGAATTATATGCTGCCATTTCTTCTACCTTCTCAATATATATGATATATCCGTATAAACTGTTTGCTGATTATTTCAGGTCATTCCATCAGCATGAAGAGTAGGGCTTTTCAACTTTTTTGTATTATCTAGAGAAAATTATTGACATTTTATTTCTCGATTTGTCCAAGACTCCAGTGTAAGATTTGCAATTTCTGCGCCTTCTCTTAGATTCACTCAGGGTTTCGTGTATTCACTTAGGGATCTTTCGTATCGGTCCCTTATACTTGATTTCCTTGCACTTTCGAAAATTTTTATAATTTGTTGTCTTATTCGTGTCAAATTCCTCTTTGATTTCTGGCTGATTGTGAAACAGAGATAATAGCTCTCGACCCATCCGGTCTAAGCAATTTTAAAGGTCTGCCTAACATATTTTCTAGTTATTTTCTGAAGGTTTTGTTGGTGCATTATCGAGTTTTTGAAGTTTATATACCGATGACCATAATACTTTCCTCATCAGACACATTCTACTTTTGAATATATTCATTTATGTATCTAAGGTTTCATTGGGGTTATTAGGGCTAATTAACCGTAATTCATTGAAGAAATTGGCTCCGGCCGTTTGACTTCCGTTTCGTATTAACGGTTGTAGACTTATTGCTTACATTTAACATGCCTGCATTGCTGGTCATAATGAATTGACGTCATCTCTGTCATTAGTGTCAAGCTCCTCCAGGTCAGGTGGTGTGCCTGGGCATCCCATACATGTTTGATAGGTCTGGTAGGTCTTCACTGTCCCTTCCACTTCTCTAGTCGGTGGTTATTGCGAACTATCGTAAAAAAGATAGGCTGAGTCAATTACAATTTTCTCTCAGGTCCTTCGTTACTAGCCATTTCAATTTTACCGTTATTAAGCACATAGGATATCCAGAGGTAGTATATTTATTCCCTTTCGAATAATTATATGTTTTAGGGATTCTGATATTCTACAGTAAATCCCCCAGAATCTCTTTCCATAATAGACTGTGAGTTCTTGTATGAGAACACTATAAAATTTCTCCAGATCTTTTCAAAGGACCGTCGATCCCCTCATGCCGTTAGTTAACTTGAACTACTCCTATCGTTAGTAAGATGAGTCATCCTCCTTCTGTTCATACTTTGAACAAACGAGTCCCATGAATATAATAAAAAGATTTGTCCACATCCATGGAGCCCACTAGATGGATGCAATTTTGAGTTGTTTGGGAGGGCATCTTATATCCCACAATTTCCGTTGACTATACCTGCTAAAACCCAGGTACCATTCATCTTTTTTATGATTGTGTTCATTTTAACCTCCAACAAACTTATCGAGGCAGAAAGCGGAATTGTCTGTCGTGACATCATTATATACGGTTCAAAGACATTCATCATTTTGTAGAAAACCGATACCTGGGTTTTCGTGGTATTGAATTGAACCGGGTTACTTTCACCCCAGTCGAAATCACCTCTAGATCCTCATTAACATATGCAACCTCCTGCTGCCGGTGAAGATGTGCATTCGCAGCTGTTGTCCTGGAATCCAAATGGACTGATAAGACAAGTGTGATGTCATCAGCAAAGCAATTTATTGGATTCTTGTTTTTCTTCAATGAGTCGTTAATATACAATAAAAAGAGTGTTGGAGACAATAAGAATACCTGGGGAACACCTGCGTTGATGGTAAAAGTATTCGAGAGATATCCATCGACGGCCACTTGCAGGAAACGATCTTTCAGGAAACTGATCCGACAAGCCTTAGCATCGACTTTTATCACGTGTTGCATAACATCAATGGGTTAGGATCCTTTTATATTGCCTCTTGAAACAGGTAATGGATACCGCGGACCTACTCTTTTTCCAGTGCCTCAGAAGGTACACAAGTTTCCTTTTGTTCAAGGCCGATCTTCAAATTAATGAGGCAAATTCTTCGTTTTTCATGAAAGAAAAGTCAGTAGTTTTGAATTATCTGATGTTGCGATATAATCTGCAAGCATTGTTTGTAATCATCTGCAGTTCACTGATTCAAGGAGTAATATGTCAACCTTCTGAACTTATTCTGAAATGAAAAATTTTGCCATCTGGTAAAAACAATATCGAATATCTACAATGGATTTTATGTATTCAAGCATAACTTCTTTCGAAATCATCATAGTGAATTATGAATTACATTGATGTTGAAATAATAAAAGCTCAATGTGTTGACATTTTTAAACACTTTATTGTGTGACTGAGTACTTTTTATGAAGCGTCTTAAAGTGAAACAAGTTTCGCGGTTTTGTAAACTGTTCAGTGAAAATATCATATCCATCTTTCAAATAAATATTCACGTACTGTATCGATTGGTCTATAAACATTGCTGATAATGCGTTGCTTTTATATCAAACGATTTTTTATATATTTTGATAATTTGAAGTTCTATAGTCGCTTGTAGGAGTTACATACCGGACACAGTCAAAGGCCTTGGCAATATCAAGGCCGAGACTTACCATGTTTCTTGATTGCACTATTCCAGAGGTGAATGTTTATAAAGTAATCTTATATCAAGAATATGTTTTGAAGCTTTTTCCCTGATTTTCCCTTCCACTGATTTGTAAAGATTTTTTTTCTTTTTGAATTTAGGTTGATCGAGCAGTATTTTCCAATAAGAAAAAAACGAATCATTGAAGAGCCTTAGTGAATTTTCAACCAACAGACCTAACCACTGAGCAGAAAGACGTAGAATTATTGGGATTGAAAAGAAGTTCATTCCCAATTCTCTGGATATGCCGTTTTTTATTCTCATTTGTTCTTTTTCGACATGACAATACAGCAGAGGATCACCATTTCAGTCTATAGATCATCTTTGAATTATTGACCGTTATATAAAACCACCAATGTACAATTTTCGATTTCAAACTGAAAGATTTGTCGATATGGCGTTCAAAATCACTTTTGGTCAATTACAACACCAAATATTTTTCTTTGTAATGAACTTCCACGTCCACATAGGACGTGGAAGTTAATAATTTATAATCTTAGTATAAATTACATGTCATCTCAAGAATCTTTTGGAACTTTTTTCTGAGCATCGACTGTATTCACCTGATGGTGAGGCCTACAAATTTGGTCCTTTTCGCGATCTCTCGATGAATATTTTAATGCTTTCGATTAGACATTATAGAACAGTAATTAGGAATTTGCCTGTTTGAGTAGTTCCTTATGTGTAAATCGATTATTTCTTCATTATCTGCATTGATGAAAGTACGAGAGCAAGAGTTAATATTGTATCAGACAAGGCAGTCCCAGGAAGGAGGTAATATTTTATATTTCAGAAACACCACTTCATTATTTCCCAAAAATAACTCACCCTCCAGTTGATTGAACACTTTATAATAATTCGTATGTATTGTAGAACAGGATGTATTTGAAACCAAACAAAAATTATTTGAATACATTTCTTTCAGATATTTGTATATTTCTAATCTTTTTTCGAAACACAATCTATACTTACCTCAGGATGGTAATTTATACATTTAGGTGGCCTCCTTCTGTAGAGGCTGTCTTTAGGTTTGTGTAAACAGCCGCCATTCTTCGATTCATAACCAACTTCTTGGGGAGCGATGCTCAACTGTTTGCTACCACAGGGACATACCGTGTCCACAACGAGAAGAATTAAATTACTATGAGGAATTTTCTGTACACTAAATGGCCTGAAAAAAGTGTTACACATAAGAAGATGTCGCTTCAATTTTCCTATCTACTAACCTTTCGCAGCCACTATTATGACAATTCGTCAACTTTCCTTTAAGAGGGTTGCTTTGGCCGCTGGTATTCAACTTATCGGGTTGAAGGATGTACAAATCCACTTTGCGATCGCATGGTCTAACACCGAACTGTCCGAGATCCACGCCTTCCATTGGGTCTGATTCGTACGGGGGGATGAAAGAAGGGGAATAGGTGTTGGAGGGGGGTGAAATTATGGTTTCATGATCATCTATAACGTCCTCCCCGGTCTGATATTGATCCACGTCGTAGTCGGAGTAAACGTCCAAGAGATCTTCTGTAATGGAGAAACACTCTAAATGATTCAGGCCCCAAGAAAAATTTTACCAAGATAATTCAAAACACCTATCCTCTAAGGTCTACATGTTGTTCTTGTGGGACTAACTGGTGGTGAAAGAATGGAGGATATTTCCAAAAAGCACATCAAATGAAAGTATGTTCAAAAAGGTTATACTCCGAAGTTGTAAATCATCATTAACGAAAGACCGCCAATGACACCAATTATTCTATTTCGTATTGAGTCAAAGTGTATTTTGTTGTTGAGCCCCATACATGTCAGCAATATTCAAGTTTCGGTCAAATGCGTGCTTTAAAATCATCAAAAGCTGTTTAGAATTGAAATAATTTCTGATTTAAAAAATATAGTTTTGTTATATCAGAATTGCCATTCACAAGTGCGGAAAAATTGGAGTATTTTTCTTTGGTTGAAGTAGACAAATGACACAGAACAAACCTCCGATATCGAAGCCCTGTTTCATCTTTACAACATGGCGGAGGTCACCGAAATTGCTTCAGAATTTAGTTTAAAGACGCCGCCTTCTAGTTTTCCTTATGAATGTTTACTCTTCTGGGGTTAGATTGAGTAGTTCTGGCAGATATCTGAGAATTTTCTGAGTCAACGTTGAACGTAAAGTGTTGTTTCAAACCGATTCCTCAGAATAATTCTGAAGCGACTTTTCAGGTCTGATTTTTAGTAGGTCCTCTTTAGAATGGGTCAAGGTTTTGGTATTCAGGTACAATAGGATTCCAAGCAATGAGATTTTCAAGAAGGGGCATCGAAGGCAGCGGCGGAGAAACTCCAATTCAGGAAGTAGTAGGAGGAAGTGACGAGTGAGTGTATTTATTTTCAGGATATCCGGCTGAAGGCTGGATCCTGTAATTCGTTACAGGTATTGAAGAGGATTGCTGGTTGTGTTAATCAGTAAGATTTAACACCCTTAGTGGAGATAAAGTGGTGCATTTTGGCGATTAGCCAGGCCACCATAGAAGCAAGAAGACAGCTCATTGAAATTTCAATTTTAATACCATGTACCTGAAGACAGTGTGGATACTGTATTACTCTTTTATGAGAATCCCTTACCGGTCGGCTCCTTTGAGGTAATACGGTGGTACTTCGAAAGTTTCATGGAAACCTTAATTTTAAAAATAACTTATGTCGAATGCCTGTACGGCGATTCCGGTAAATCTGTTTGAAATCTGGTTTTCCCTTAATCAGCTGTCGCCCCCACACGAACGACAACTCTCAGAAGTTGAGAAACTTGTACGAGCTAAGGACTAACGAGGTCTTACCTTCTAACGTGTGATTCCTAACTTACCAAACTGAGAAAAGAAACAACAGTGCCAGTGGAATGCTAGAGATTATTCAAACTCTGTGATATTGAACAGCAGTGTGGGCCTGATAAAGTTTCCGAGGGTATTCAGCAGAGTTTTTTCGAATTTGCAAATGGCCCGTACCGAAGTAGGTTACCTACCCCGAAATGATGACACAGCTGATGTCATAATAATAATAATAACAATAGCTTTATTGTCCAACAGTTACCCATTTACAGGTCAATATAAAATTATATTCACAATACTTAACCATAAACAACGAAAAATAAAAAAAATGAAAAACTAATTCTAATTACCTACTTCAAGTACACGTTTGCAATTCTAATAATGTTATGAAGGTTAGTGGAGAATATATCACAATGGAAACAAATACTATTGAAATTCATACACATAACATGTATTGGATAATTGAGCATAATGTTAATTCTTGTTCTGAGAGGTCTAAAAATGGACTGAGATCGTGAAACTGGCCGTTGTACATTGAAGTTAATTTGTTCCAGAATTTTAGGAAAGTCAGCTCTCTCAGTTACTAATTTGAATAAAAATATGAGCCTCGCACATTTTCTGCGATGCTCTAAACTAAAAAGTTCCAAACGTTCATATATGACATCATTACTGATACATCTCTCTGGGTAAGAACCCAGAGACTGAAAATTAAAAATTTACAAAACTTTCTTTGAACTTTTTCAATGGCTATGTTATGAATCTCATAAAATGGACTCCAGACGATACTTGCATATTCTATCTTCGAACTCTTCATTATCTGCATTGATGAAAGTACGAGAGCAAGAGTTTCATATTGAATATAGGATAAAGAAAATAAATTTTATCTAATTTTTATTTGTTACGACCGGTTTCGATTTATTAAACCATTTTCCAGAAACCGGTCGTAACAAATAAAAATCTTGGTAAAAATTAGGCGAAAGTTATTTTCTTTAGCCTATATTCGATACTATTTCCATCACTAGGATTTCTATACCAATTTTGCTGAGCTACATTTCAATAGGCGATAGCTCAGTCGCAACTTTTTCGAAGCTTTGGTGTGAGGTTGAAAGACCGCTTCATTCAAAGTGAATATATATACATCCATGCCCGATACGACCTGTTATTTTCGAAGCATATGCTATTGTAGAACTAACATCTATCATTTAAATCTGTCGATGAAAGTTTTTCAGCTTATGTCTAATCTGGCACTCTATTCTAGTGATGTGTTATGAAATACACTTTTCGTCAGATATTCATTTTCTCATCATCTACTTGATTTGTTCCTGCAAGTTGTCATAGTAAGTTTTTGTACCCGATTTAAACAATCAAAAATGTAACTTTAGTGCGGCTCCGATATTCATGGCCCTGCATCTTTCGCGGGAGTATAAGAATCCCGCTGATGATGCAGGTTGTCACTCCGAGTGAAACATTTTCCACATCAACTACATGTATACATCTTCTAATCCAAAGTAAAGCTACGAGGTTTAATTCAAGGGCAGAGTCGATGGTCTCAAACTTCGTGCTCAAGGTCATATGGCGTGCACATAGCACGACAAGGTCGCGTAGAATCATTCAAGGTCGTAATATATGCACATCGCTCAAGGACGTGAGACGTAATTCAAGGTAGACCTTGTTCTTGAATTATATGCTGCCATTTCTTCTACCTTCTCAATATATATGATATATCCGTATAAACTGTTTGCTGATTATTTCAGGTCATTCCATCAGCATGAAGAGTAGGGCTTTTCAACTTTTTTGTATTATCTAGAGAAAATTATTGACATTTTATTTCTCGATTTGTCCAAGACTCCAGTGTAAGATTTGCAATTTCTGCGCCTTCTCTTAGATTCACTCAGGGTTTCGTGTATTCACTTAGGGATCTTTCGTATCGGTCCCTTATACTTGATTTCCTTGCACTTTCGAAAATTTTTATAATTTGTTGTCTTATTCGTGTCAAATTCCTCTTTGATTTCTGGCTGATTGTGAAACAGAGATAATAGCTCTCGACCCATCCGGTCTAAGCAATTTTAAAGGTCTGCCTAACATATTTTCTAGTTATTTTCTGAAGGTTTTGTTGGTGCATTATCGAGTTTTTGAAGTTTATATACCGATGACCATAATACTTTCCTCATCAGACACATTCTACTTTTGAATATATTCATTTATGTATCTAAGGTTTCATTGGGGTTATTAGGGCTAATTAACCGTAATTCATTGAAGAAATTGGCTCCGGCCGTTTGACTTCCGTTTCGTATTAACGGTTGTAGACTTATTGCTTACATTTAACATGCCTGCATTGCTGGTCATAATGAATTGACGTCATCTCTGTCATTAGTGTCAAGCTCCTCCAGGTCAGGTGGTGTGCCTGGGCATCCCATACATGTTTGATAGGTCTGGTAGGTCTTCACTGTCCCTTCCACTTCTCTAGTCGGTGGTTATTGCGAACTATCGTAAAAAAGATAGGCTGAGTCAATTACAATTTTCTCTCAGGTCCTTCGTTACTAGCCATTTCAATTTTACCGTTATTAAGCACATAGGATATCCAGAGGTAGTATATTTATTCCCTTTCGAATAATTATATGTTTTAGGGATTCTGATATTCTACAGTAAATCCCCCAGAATCTCTTTCCATAATAGACTGTGAGTTCTTGTATGAGAACACTATAAAATTTCTCCAGATCTTTTCAAAGGACCGTCGATCCCCTCATGCCGTTAGTTAACTTGAACTACTCCTATCGTTAGTAAGATGAGTCATCCTCCTTCTGTTCATACTTTGAACAAACGAGTCCCATGAATATAATAAAAAGATTTGTCCACATCCATGGAGCCCACTAGATGGATGCAATTTTGAGTTGTTTGGGAGGGCATCTTATATCCCACAATTTCCGTTGACTATACCTGCTAAAACCCAGGTACCATTCATCTTTTTTATGATTGTGTTCATTTTAACCTCCAACAAACTTATCGAGGCAGAAAGCGGAATTGTCTGTCGTGACATCATTATATACGGTTCAAAGACATTCATCATTTTGTAGAAAACCGATACCTGGGTTTTCGTGGTATTGAATTGAACCGGGTTACTTTCACCCCAGTCGAAATCACCTCTAGATCCTCATTAACATATGCAACCTCCTGCTGCCGGTGAAGATGTGCATTCGCAGCTGTTGTCCTGGAATCCAAATGGACTGATAAGACAAGTGTGATGTCATCAGCAAAGCAATTTATTGGATTCTTGTTTTTCTTCAATGAGTCGTTAATATACAATAAAAAGAGTGTTGGAGACAATAAGAATACCTGGGGAACACCTGCGTTGATGGTAAAAGTATTCGAGAGATATCCATCGACGGCCACTTGCAGGAAACGATCTTTCAGGAAACTGATCCGACAAGCCTTAGCATCGACTTTTATCACGTGTTGCATAACATCAATGGGTTAGGATCCTTTTATATTGCCTCTTGAAACAGGTAATGGATACCGCGGACCTACTCTTTTTCCAGTGCCTCAGAAGGTACACAAGTTTCCTTTTGTTCAAGGCCGATCTTCAAATTAATGAGGCAAATTCTTCGTTTTTCATGAAAGAAAAGTCAGTAGTTTTGAATTATCTGATGTTGCGATATAATCTGCAAGCATTGTTTGTAATCATCTGCAGTTCACTGATTCAAGGAGTAATATGTCAACCTTCTGAACTTATTCTGAAATGAAAAATTTTGCCATCTGGTAAAAACAATATCGAATATCTACAATGGATTTTATGTATTCAAGCATAACTTCTTTCGAAATCATCATAGTGAATTATGAATTACATTGATGTTGAAATAATAAAAGCTCAATGTGTTGACATTTTTAAACACTTTATTGTGTGACTGAGTACTTTTTATGAAGCGTCTTAAAGTGAAACAAGTTTCGCGGTTTTGTAAACTGTTCAGTGAAAATATCATATCCATCTTTCAAATAAATATTCACGTACTGTATCGATTGGTCTATAAACATTGCTGATAATGCGTTGCTTTTATATCAAACGATTTTTTATATATTTTGATAATTTGAAGTTCTATAGTCGCTTGTAGGAGTTACATACCGGACACAGTCAAAGGCCTTGGCAATATCAAGGCCGAGACTTACCATGTTTCTTGATTGCACTATTCCAGAGGTGAATGTTTAT